GAAGAGCGGAGTTTCTTGACTGGGAGACGGGGGCGTTTGCCTGCATGTGTGGGGAAAGCTAGAATTAGGGGGGAAAGGAGAAAAGCCCCTTTTTATACCCTCAGACAGGAATACTGAGCCATAGTATAGTCCTTCACCTGCTCCTGGAAAAGTGCACTTATTGGCTACGTTTTATTTCTGGTGAAACCAGAAACTCCTTCGCAGGCACAGCATGATCTGCGGCAGGTTTCCAGCTGGAGCAAGCGTGGGCACTGCAGTGGGCTTAGCTGAGGGCAGAATTAGACCTACAAAGTGTCCTGAAAAGGTGGAATGGAGGGGAAAAAAAGTCTTCTGTTTTCCATACCAAGTTTTCTGTCCTGCTCGCACTGCTCACATCGTAGCTCCAGGCCGCAGTTGCCACGCACACCTGCCCAGCACAGGCCGCAGGCGGGGACAGCAGGCACAGCGAGACCTAGGCTGGCCTTTGTAATGTGCTGTTTTACCCTTTGCTCAGCTCCTGCCGCCTTTGCGGGACTGATGTACCTGTTTGTGAGGCAGAAGTACTTTGTGGGCTATCTCGGCGAAAGGACTCAGAGGTGAGAATTTGCAGAGCCTCTTTACGAAACCCCCAGCAAAGCCCTGCCCCACCGCCCTCCCTGCTCACGGCATATGTAGAAGCACAAATGTGTGTTTGTGCTTCTATTTGCACAGGATCCTTTCCTAGTAATAAAGCTAATTTTGCACATGTTGAACAAAGTTGTCCCACCATCTTTGATGGCTGAGAAGACATACGGGTCTCTCTCAATAGCCACTGTTGTAAGAAGCAGCCTGCACTGAGCCCAGAGGGCTAAATCCAGACCCCCACTGACTCCAAAACTTCCCACTGGCATTTACGAGCTTGTAGCCGGCCATCGCGGGAAATACAAGTCAAAACAGAAACGAGCCCTCTCCGTCTCGCTGTTTGAGATCTCTCAGTTGGTCTCAACAACAAACTCTGGAGTCTGAGGACTTCTCAGGTGAGATTATATATTTTAATGAATTGCTTTTCTCCCTTTCTGTCTCCTCAGCACTCCTGGTTACTTATTTGGAAAGCGCATCCTTTTGTTCCTGTTCCTCATGTCTGCAGCTGGAATACTCAACTACTATCTCGTCTTCTTTTTTGGAAGTGACTTTGAAATGCACATAAAAACAATAACCAGCGCAATCTCGCCATTGCTGCTCATTCCGTAACTTTTCATTGCACTGAGGGGGTCAGCATGCTTAATATATTGATGCCCAGAAGTAACCATAATTCAACTGTTTAAGCAATGAACCTATAACCCTTTTAGATTGCTGTAAATCTAATGCTCAGTGGGCTTTGTAGTTTGATTTAACCTTGTTTTTTCCTTCAAGAAAAAGATTTATTGTGAACACTCAGCATGCCCCAGGAATGGTAACAACTTCCAGTTAATTCTTTAGATTCCGTCTATAAATTGCACTTTTAAAGCTGATTTCATGACTGTGAGGAATTTTTTATGTTTTTAGCATAACTGTGCTGTACTTAGCTCTTGTTATGAAAACCAGGAGCCTCACAGCCTTGCTCACATGCAACCATCCTGACAGATGTGCAGCTACAGCTGCCTCCTGCTGTTATCCTCACACACCATACACAGGCCTTCACCATCACCCTGCACGCAGTTGCCCACACAAAGGTGCAGTCCAGCCTCTTCACCCACCGTGTCCTTTGTGCTTTTTGGTGATCAAGCCCCCACTGGTGCCAGAGGATGGCAAACTGGCCCCTGTCTGGTCTTCCTTGACAAACATTCACGTGCATAATTCTCCTAACACTGGTCTAATTTACCCTTCAGCCTTTTTGTGCTTGCAGAGGTGTGGAAAGCAGTCTGCTGTAGATGAGGATCTGGTGTCTTCATGATGGGGTTGGTTTTGTCTTGTTTAATAAAGCAGTCTAAAAGGATGAAATCCTTCTTTTTCTCCCATGTTCTTTGCGTAGCGCTCGACCCCGGTCCTCCAAGGCACGAACGTGCCGGTGAACGGCGCAGCAACGGGCCGGCTCACTGCGGGGCGAGCAGGGCTGGGCTCTGCGTGCGCTCGGGGCGTGCTGTGAGCACAGGCTCTAAAGGATGCATATTTAGCAGCTCCTTCTCTATTAGCACATTTAATTCTCTGCCTCCATCACTTACAGTGTGGCCTTACAAGTCAATCTCAAGGAAGAGTTTGATTATAGAGGCAAATCGAGGCAGGCAAACAGACAGGCACAACCTTTTAAACATTGCTACCATATGAAAGCTTAAGCTCTTAAGCCTGTCTGATTACCACATGCAGGATGGATAAAGCTGTATTTTATGACTCCTTCGGGAGGGACGGAGTCTGGCTGCTACGTGAGGAGAGAGTCTGCAGAGTTGTTTTCAAAAGGGATCCAAGAAAGCAGCCTGCCTTTGTACCAAGGTTTGCGGGCAGAGGTGCTTGTGAGTGCTGCTCTCTTTAACATCAGCCTGTGTTATCTCTGCATCTAACCACTCACAGTGCCAAAATAACACATCTTTTTTCTCTTATCTTGTACAGGAATGTTAGACATGAAAGATCAGTTGTAAAGAAAGATGCTTTTTGCATGATGATTAGCAAATAAATGCTCTGACTTGAAAGAAGAGGTAATAAAAACTATATTTTCAGCTAACTTACAGCTGCAGAAACACCTTATTTCCTGGTACAGTGCTTATACTCCTTTTCTCCCCTTCTTTTCAAACCGTCCTGACACGCTTCAAAAACCTGCTTTGCACTGCGCTTCTCTCCCTGCTTCTCTCTCCTTAGCCCATCCGCAGCCTCAGCGTCCTCGGTGGCGAGTGGCACCCCTCGAGAGGCCTGAGCAGAGGGGGAAGCAGATGCCCCTTTTCGGCCCTACTCTCCTCTTTCACACCACGTCACCGCAGCGGTGCCCGAGGCAAGGAGGGAGAGCATGGCCCTAGCTTTGGGGTCCAAGTTATGAGAGATGAGAGTGTTGCGGCTCTGTTGCATTGTTCGTACCAGCAAAACTTCATGCTGCCGCCACAGTTGGCCAGTTCAGAGGAGCGATTGGTTTTAGGGGACACTGGTGGGACCCCACGAAGGCCACAGCCCCAGTTCTCCAGCCAGTCTGGTCTCCCTGAGCTCTGAGACTTGTTTCTGGAAACCATCACTTGTTGGAGGTGTTGGCTGTCCCAACCCTATGTGTCTGCTTCACAGGTCCCAACAGCTGGGCCAGGCTTCCTTGGCTCTTCGTGTCCTCTGTGTCATGAAACAGCTAGCCTGACCTCTTTTTGACATCTACTGGTAGCAGAGAAGACATTCTCCATGAAGCTTCTGATGCTCTTCTCTAACTACACAGGACAAAGAATTCAAATATCTATTTTGGGTCAGATAATCCATCCCAGTATGCTCAGGCCTCTCCATTGACTCGATGGCTAGTTTTCACGTAGCTATATTTAAGTGAGATCAGTTCAGGCTTAAGTATCTTCACAGAGAATGAAGTCAGACCCATCTTTTGCTGTAACCATTTACATTCAGAAGAATGTCACCTACTTACTTCCTCAAAGCCTTTTTGATAATGAAAGAAATGAAAATGTATGCAAAATCTGTTTTCCATCTATCTATAAATGAAAATGGCAATAGAATCAAACTGATAAACAGATGGTAGGTAAATTTGTCGCTATGTAAATTCTCCTGTGAATGTCACAGTGTGTTTTCTATGGTACAGACAAGGCTTGTGGTTGCATTTGCCTTTTCACTCTTTCTAAGAAAAGAAGGGCAATGTTAGTGTTATTTGGGCTTTCCTCACTGTGTTAGAGAACTACAGTTTTTGTTTTCAGCATGCAAAACCCTCGTTTCTGGGCAGAACAATCTCTAGCACTTTGCGCACTGGCTACTCAGAAAGCCACGAACGTAGATCCACATGCAAAAACACATACGCTACTGTAAAAGACACATGGGCACATACTGGGGTTATATACATGCGAACCTACTCGGGCCCACTGAACTGCCCTCTACCTGGGGACACAAGTGGCAGCAGAAGTAGCAGCCCCCGTCACTGCTCCTGTGTTAGGCTAGCTTGGAAGCTCCTGTGGTCAGAGCCTGTGTTTCATAAAACATCCAGCAAAACAGCTCTTGGACTAGCTCCTGGGGCTCTGTGTGAATGATAATCACTTTGTTGTCCTGCTAATTGGCCTGGTGACATTAACCTGGCCCACTCAGGCACCTTCCCAGACTGTGGACCCTGCTCCATTGGCAGTGCCAAGCTCCGTTTGGGACGTGCAAGCACCGTGCCAGGCCGCCTTGCCTGCTCCACACCGACGCAGCCCAACAACCAGCGGGGAGCTGCTGTTCCAACTGGTGACTCTCCAGTAAATTAAATTTAAGAACCACTTGATGAGAAAGTAGAAGAGTTTTTTTACAGCCTCGCTGTCTCCGAACCAGTCTGATTAACACTTGGCAGAAAAACTCTCCGAAAAGCCAGGCAACCTTCTTGCACCCTTGCAAAGTGTCCCGCAGCGTGCCAGCTCTGCAGCTTGCTGCCCAGGGAGCTCTGCTGGCTCAGCACAGCAGGGCTCACATTTGCACCTGGCTTTAGTCTCTGTGAAGGAGCTCTGCTGTTCCGGCAGTCCTTGGAGTCACGCTGAGGTCTGCCAGGCTAGGCCGCAGGTTTGTAACGTGCGTGCCTGGGAAGCATGCTCTGGATGCTGGCACAGCTTACACCGACAGCTCACACGAGCGTGCTGCTACTTGTACCGTTTGCAGAGAGAGCTGTACATCAGGGAACCCAGGTTCTCTTTTGTCTTTATGCTACGTGGATCCCATGGCTGGCATCCATGTCCACGTTCACAGGCTCCCAGCAGACCTCAGAAGCCTGTTCATGCATCTAAATCCAAGATAATGCAAATAAACATATTGTGTATGTGTGTATACGTACAGACACAGTGTGTTTTCGTACTGTGTTTGTACATACAGTAGCTGTCGAGTCATCTAAATGCTAGAGGATTTTCAAGAAAGGCAGAGAGGAAGGTTGCTCAGCCATCAGCCCTCTCACAGCTTGCAGGCTGTGTACACCAGAGATTGCAGAGACTGCTAGAAGCTGGGCTATCCCAGGATGCTTTTGATCTCCTAACAAAGGCCTGGAGTACATGCAGTATTCCTGCCACATCAACTGCATCTGCTTTAGTACAGCACTACAACCCTCTAGTGGAAACTCGGTCCTATTGGCACTCAAGTGCTTTTGGCTGTCGGATGAGCTGTTTCCTTGTGTTTTTAAGTGGGAGAGTGATAAAACTGCATCCACATATCTAAACAGATGCGTTGTTTCTACTGCTGCTGTTTTTATTACTCTGGCATACAATGCAGGAGCCCTAGTCCTGAAGCAGGACCCCACTCCACCCATCACAAAGTGATGTGTGTAGCACAGTCTGAGCAAACAGGTAGCATCCAAGTGGTATGAGAAATTGTGTGCACCACCCCTAAGAGTTTCCTACAGTATTTGCCAGATTCCTAGTTTCCCAGAACTCTCAAAATTGGCCGTTTCAGTATCCAGTCAGCCTATCCTATGTCTGTTCCAAGTCAAGTGTCCAAACAAGTCTCCAAGGATGGTGAAAGCAGTTCTGCTAGCAAGGAGCAAACACTGGCTCGAGATAGCTTGTTTAACTTTTACCTGGTCTGAGATTACTTTTTTTCTAGCAGAACAGCTGGTTTAACATTCACAGAAACCTTTCAAAAAGCAACCAAAAGCCCTGTCAGGGTGGGATGCTGCAAAGCGCTCAGTGCTGGCCTGGCTTGGACCCTACCCAAGTCAGTGGTGCATCTTCTGCTGCCTGCAGTGTGAGCAGGATGAGGCCATGCAGAGCATGTTTCGAAATAGTCCACCCCTGACAGATGAAAAGGCAGTCTAGAGTGAGAATAATGGCAAAACCATTTCCTGGCTGATTTTAAATTAGTCTCATGTTCCAGCCGAAGGGAGCAGAATGAACATGCCCATGGAAAAGCACATCCATATGCTGTGACCACGATGGCAGAGCCTGTGAAACGCCCTTGCAGGGGATGCACTGAGCTGGTGGGGGAGAGGACCGCGGAGATCGCCACCTCCATCTGGGGGCACTTGGGGAGGTGCACACATTTTGCCTTCCCTTTGGGTAGTGCAGACTACTGCCCCCAGCACCGTTGGGGAGCGTGAAGGACACTGCAGCTGTGGCTGCTCTCAAGGTGGTTCGGTGCCTCTAGGGATTAGGAGTGAGCGGCAGCCTCTGCTCTGCTTCCATGCTGATATATGTGGCTGCAATGGAGAAAGAGCTGCTTTTAGCAGCACTGCTGTGAACCTTGGGAAAATACAGCCTTTAGAGAGCAACCAGCTCCTGGCCATGCCTGGGCTCTGCCCCTGGGCATGCAGAGGGACGCCGTGGGTGGCACGAGCAGTCTTGCAAAGGCATCAGCCCGGCTCCATTCATCTCTGTGAGAGAGCATCTCACAGCCTCCAGCCAGGGCACACAGAGCTATGAAACCTGGTGAAAGAGAGAGTCCTGCCCCAAAGGGCTAACAGTCTCCACAGTGAGCTAGTTTTCCCCTTTACAGAAGAAATAAATAACTTTTCAATTCCAACTGCTAGAATCTTCCCCCTCTACAAGATGATTTCAATAGACAAATGCACTCCCAGGGCTTCCTGCAGCTGCCCATGGAGCTGCTCAGATGCTGCCGGCCAGGTACAAGGAGACCAGGGACCCATGGGCCAGCTGGGATCTGGGGTGTAAAGAGCGTGGTAGGTTTTTCACTTAAAAAGAAAGGTGCAATGGTATTGCAATTGATATAGAAAAGCGGTTGGGGCAGTGCCTTTTCTGCCGTATGGGAATAGCCAGGACTGTTTATACACTGCGACCTCTCACAAGGCCAGATGATGCTTCAGGAGACTAAGGAAAAGGCCTGCTGTGTTGCTATTTGCCACTGCTTGTACAAGCATACGTTTGATTTATTGTTTCTGTGTTTTCCCAAGAGAGGGCCGCTGCAGCCTTCCTCCCCAAGCAATGTTTTCTGTGCTTTTGGCACTGGCTCAGTACTTCAGCAGCGGACGGTCTGACCCAGCAAGGGCACTGTCCATGCTTTGGGGCTAAGCAAAGCAGCACGGTGTTTCTTTGCCAACCGCGTCATGCTTCTCCAGTCATTTGCGCTGCCACAAAGGAATTTCTTTCCAAAAGACCTTCCCTCTGCCCTCCGCAGACAAGCAGGAGCTGCTGTGAGTCCCTGCCAGCAGCTGCGAGACCGCGGCCCGCCCGGCTCCCGCGACCCTGGGCGCTCTCACCTCCACAGGGCCAGCACCCTCGCTGGCCACCAGACTTACTTCCTCCTCTCAGGCTAGAGAGCTCGGGCCATGAAACAAAACCGGCTGTCATTTATCAGAGTTTAAGTTAGAGGCCAGTCTGGGGGTGCGTTTAACAACGCTGTGGTTTCTTGGAGCGTACCTCACTCCCTACGCCTTCGGCAGACACCAGCGCCAAGGAGCTGAAGACAGTTTTCATAGCACGACTCCGCTGCTCGCCCCTGCTCTGACCTCACTCCCCAAATCCCATGTGTCCTCCCTCAGTTTTCCTGCTCCCACGAGGCTTCGCGAGGGTCCCTTTC